CTAGGCAATTCTCATGTGGTCGGCTGGATCAAACTCACATGAGAAGCCCTAGATCTTGCTTTGATACCAAGTAGTCATACAAGACTACAAATATCCCTTAGGTTTTGAATAGAAAATAAAGAAAGGAAGAGAGAAGAGGAGAAGAAAAAGAAGAGAGATGAAGAGGGAGAACTCATGGAGAGGTTTTAGAAAGAAGAGAGTGGTTGGTGTTTTTGAAATAGCGGCCCCACCCCTTAATTTATATACATAGTTTCCTAATTGTAAAATAACTCAATGCTTACATGGCAAGATAAGATAAGATTAAAATTAAAACTAATCCTAGATAAGATAGAAGAAAAAAAAACAAATCCTACTAGGAAAGCTGATTAAATCTAAGTACGTCCCAGGGTGTCACACGAATACTAATGTGGGGTCCACAGTTTCCTACACTTATAAACAACTTGTTTTGTAGTTTTTGAGAAAACATAACAATTTCATTTATAATTTACATCTTAGGTATACACATGTAAAACTAATACTAAAAATAGACCCTTTGAATTCCTAAAATAATAATAATAATAATCTTGAGCTCAAAATATGAAATACACCAAATGTAAAGGAAAAAGAAAATTCAACTTGGACATTGAAATAACGGAATATGATTTCTTCTAAAATAAAAAGGGAACAATATATGTGTATTTAATGGCATCCCAAACCAAAGTAGGAAAATAATGAATATTGGATGATATTAAAGTAGTTAATTGGAATATGAGAAGTAGGGGTGGCCACGAGCAGAGCTTCTCACAAGCTATTTGAGCTCAATTCGGTTTAAACCGAGCTCGAGCTCAATATATAGGCTCGTTTGCTAATCTAGCCGAGCTCAAGCTTAGTGAAGCTTGCAAGCCTAATCAAGCCTAGTATAATAAATAAATAATTTTTATTATATACATACATACATATACATATGCATATACATACATACATACATATACATATGCATATACATACATGCATACATACATATACATATACATATGAATATAAATACAAATATTTATATACAATAAAAAATTTTTATTATATAAAAATATTTTCTTATATAATATTTTTATTTTTTATGTATAATATTAATTTTTTATAATTCTTATTTTTTGTTTGTAAAATAAAAATAATTTTTATAATTATTTTTTGTATGGATAATAATAAATAATTTTTATAATTCTTAATTTTTTGTATGTAAAATAAAAAATTATTTATATATATAATTTTTGTTTTTAGAAAAAGCTTGGCTTGTAGTCAAGTTCAAACTTGCGAGCTTGAACCGAGCTTGAGCTCGAGCCTAACACTATTTCTGTGAGCCAAGCTCGAATAGTCAAGTATTCTACTTGGCTCGGCTCGAGTGTGTAAGAAATATGGGTTGCATCTTTCAGGTTTCTTTTTTCCAACTTCTATAGTCTCCATTTAGAGAAAATATATTGTAAAATGGTCTTTCACATAAATATTGATTACAATGGTCTTTAACAAGTATTTATTTGTACATGCTATAATAGTTGATATTGAACAATATACATTTTTATGCAAAATGCATCCTAATACCTAATAATTTACAGAAAGTTTCAAGAAAAAGTTATTTGTTTGTATATATTAGAAAATATTAATTATAAACTAAGGAGCTAAGTCAATTACTCTAAATTTTATTAGATTATGTGAGTTATTCATTTATAAAAAAACAATTATCGTATGGAAGCCTATTGTATTTCATTTATTTACACATAGCTCTACATATAGAAATATAATAATATAATAATAGGTTACTAGATAATATTTAATTGCTTGAGAAATACATATTTAGTTTTAATGCCTTTAGTAAATGAAAAGTTTAAAACTAACCTGATCTATTGATCTCTGCCCTTGGAAATTATATATACATACATGCATACTTACAAGTGCAATTGAATTAATTTGTAGCCCATTAATAAATAAAATAATACATTCACTCGGTCCATCTCAATTCTCAACCTCAATCCCCACCCTTTTATTATATCTTCTCAGTTCTCCCAAGTGATGTTCAAATCTTTAACTTCGATTCAAATATCCCTCGAAGAGGGTTTAAAGTAGGGGTGTCCATGAAAAACTAAAAAACCGAACTAAACCGAAAAAACCAAACCGAAAAATGCAGTTAATTGAACCAATCTGTTCGGTTTCGGTTTGGTATTTTTGAAAACTGAAGGATCAGTTCAGTTTTTGGTTACCCTAGAAAAAAACTGACAGTTAACCGAATCGACTGGTATAATATTTATAGTATATTTTAAATATATGTCACATATTTTCTATATACTATATATAAATATATATGCATTATATATAAATATATACATATATTATATTTATAATAATCTATTTATAAATATATTATATATCATTTATTATTTATAATATATATTATAAATATAAAAAACCAAAAAATCGAAGAACTGATTTGGTCAAAAACCAAAAGTAATGGACCGATTAACCAATGGTACCGGTTTGAAGAATTTGAAAAACCAGTAGGACCAGTTCTGTTTGCAAAAATTGTCCATGGTTTGACCGAACCATGGACACCCCTAGTTTAAAGTTGACAAATGGCAAACACAATTTAACTTATGATTTGTCCCATAAAGCATTTTGAATAGGTGTTATCGTAGGCTGAGCTGGGCTTAACACCTATGATAAGGGATATAGTCTGAGTCCTGATTTGGATTTAATTTATATAATATTTATGTGATATAATATATGTATAAAATATATGATATATTTGATACAAACATAAAATATTATGTATATATGTATGTATGCATATATCAGGACTGGGTTTGAACATAAAACTTAGTTCTGAGCCTGAAATTTTTTAGCCGGGCTGAAATATGATAACCCCTAATTTTGAACCTCAGGCTGAGTTTGAAAGGAGTATAAATGCAAATATCTAGAGTGCAAAACCTTATATTTTGTATGCATTTACGCGTATTTGCATTTATACTATTTCCTGAGCCTCAATCACTGTGCACAGGTGCGTGGAAGATTCGAATGCTGTTTAAAACTTTCGATCCCTGCAAATCGAATCGACAAGCCAAGCGCTATAAAGTAGCAAAGTTAGAACATATCCAAACTCAAAGTTGCAGATATTCTAAGCCAAGTGGTTACACTAATATGCATGCGTACAAACAATGAACCCCCCAAGAATGAATCCACCATGAACGACAGATACTGTGTCGAAATCACAGAAAGAAGAAACGACAAATGGTCTATGGATCGAAGAAGATAGCCGATGTGATGTTTTCCCCCCATCACAGTCCAGGAAGAATGGAAAAAGTTTAGGTTTTCCAAGTTGGTCACCCAGAAGGATTGTTTACAGTTTCCCTGCAACGGGAGATGATATGGCCAATTCACACCATCCACTTAATTGGGGCTCCTCCCTAGACTGGCCATTTGTTCAATTCCCAGTCCCCACATCAACCTTTTGTCTACTTTGGAGCTTTCCACAGCAAGAACTAACCACTGAAAGTGCAAAGCTTTTTTTTTTTTTTGAGCTACATCAGAAGGATGTTTTGAGCAGAAGGAAGATATATATGGAGTGACAATATAAGAAATTAAAATCTAATTAAGATTCCTGTGTCGTCGTTTAGTTGCCCTTCACTATGATAGGTTATGTCTATATATGAAAAACCACTTTTTGTCTTTTGTCTTGTTTTCTTATGATAGGTTATGTCTAGTTGCCCATCTCCATTATTCTACTGAGCTGTAGTGCAACGCACTACAGTGGCTGTCAGCTTTCCAAAGGCAAATGATAAGATTGTAATAATGCTTAGAAAGCTTTATATCTAGGGGTCATCTTGGAGGGGTGGGTATGGGTACGCAGGAGGTAAAGTCTGTCCCTCAGGGATGAGAGCGATAGGCCCTGAGATCAAGCCTATTTCCAAGTTGGTTCCTAACCTTAGATGAACTGGGTATACACTACCAGGGAGAGTTGAGGATTTGCCTAGCTTCACTCTCCTAGCTTTTTCTTTTCTAAGAAAATAATCTAATACCCTTTCATTAAGTTGGAAGTCACAAGAGTAATACAAATTCTTGGGCCTGAGATGGCTAAAACATAGATTGGCCAGTTTAAGCTGGTTGTTTTCTTGTTGATTAGCTTCAAGCCCCACGAGCACCCCATCTAGTGATGTTATCATCATCGATCATCATTGTTTCTGTCTATTGTCTGTCCTTGTTATTACAAAAGACCCAACTAATTAATCCACCGACTACTGTCTATGTTAGAGCAGCTGTTCTCAACCCAGTTTATTATCTGGTCTGCTCAAGTTGGTCCTTTTCGCAATCCTATCCATTGCCATCCCTGGCCACACAAGGCATTCTGCTCCTAATGTGAATGCTCACTGGTTTTTTATTTCACTTTGGTGCATGGTTAACACTTAACATTAACTTCCCTCCACTGTACCAGAGAGAGAGAGAGAGAGAGAGAGACTGTGGGCACTAAAACACTTCAAAGCTCAAACATGAAGGCCTAGTTGACAGTAACACTTACCACAAATAGATCTTTATATGAGAATTTATTATCAACAAATTAACCAGACGGGTGCCATTCATAAGCATCAAGATTCCCGCTTATGTGGAACCAAGATTGCTCAGATGCCACATCAACTGTGGTAAAACCCAAGCAGGCTGATAACCAATAGTTCTGCACTTACCTTTCTGAACAAAAAGTAGTGCAGCCTTCTGTGTCTTTTGCCTATTCCCAGAAGGTTATTAGGTCCTTATACTAGCATTAACTTACTGAAATAACCTCATTTTGTACTATCTAATACTGTTAGCAAAAACCCATTTAACCTTAGATCTTAAATCATTAAACGGGATGAAATAACCTCATTTTGTACTATCTAATACTGTTAGCAAAAACCCATTTAACCTTAGATCTTAAATCATTAAATGGGATGAAATTGAAGACCAACAACCACCATGTGCTTTGTATGTTCTGCAACTGGGAATAGACTAGAACCTTATTTTTTTTCCCTTTTCTGTTGGTGGAAAACCAACTTAGCTCAACCCTTCAAGTATTCATGGACTATAACAAGTATATATAAGATCAGAAAGGAAAATGGTTAAGTACATATACTCGAGTTGATTAACAAAGAGAAATATAGAACTCCCCAACTGAAGGACGCTGAAAATATTTACATTGCATCAAGGCTTCTGAAGAAATCTACCTGAGGGAATTCAGTGAACAAACAAGGAGGCAGGAACCCCACAAAATTCTCTAGCATCTGAGGGGTGAAAACATCATCAAAAGGCTCCAGCAAAGAATCGGAGCTCGCCGCCGGGGACTCTTGATAGGCGTCTACCCTGGGGACTTCCGCTACACCTTCATTGGTAATCTTAATGGGTTGATCTGGTACCCTCTGAACACTGTCGGTGTCGGAGAATCTAGCGACGGTGTCAGTCAGGTCGGAGTCTCTGCCGGTGAGCTCTTGCACTAGAGCCCTAAACTCTGATGCACTGGTCTTGACCTTCATGGGGTTTGAGATGTACACAACTTTGATTGGTTTCTTCTTTGATTTGGCCTGTTTAGCGGCCTTCTTCTGCTGAACACTCAGCTTATCCATTTCTACAGATGAAGGAACTGGCGACTGCTGATGGGTCTGTGTTCTACAATCTACATAAAGGAAAACCAGATGGGGAGAAAGGTGGGCGGATTTAAAGCAGTACGGAGGTAGTTTTTGAGGTGGTTTCGGTAGTTTCTGGGAAAGAAAAGAGAAGAGAGAGAGAAGGAGCGGGTTGTTTGGATGGAGTAAATGGGAGCCGGCGAGAAATGAGAGAGAGAGAAGCTTCGATTTGAAGTGTTTTACCAGAGTTATCAATACTTCAATAATGTATGCCACGTGGCCTTCCAGAATCCCTCACATGGATGTGCTGACGTCTCCCTTTTTTCTTGGGCTGACTTCAGAAAACCGACGTGGTCGTCGCCTCGTTGGATTCCGTTTGTGTTATTATTGGCTGGATTCGCTCGGCTCAACTTCAAAAGGGTGTCCATTATCGGCTCCGAGAAATGATCAAGTGTTGATGGGAAGTGAAATTCTTTTTCAATGGAATTCATCATGCCCACGGAAATGGAATCCATCAGGATCACCTCCAATTTCACAAGTTTATGGGGGTGTTAGCCTGTTACGCCTGCAAATTTGATTCATTTATATTCGGATTCCAATCCAATCTTATCCATTGAATTTATCGTGGGTTTAAATCAATTTAGATTGAAGTAGGGTATTTAACTAGCATTAAATTAAAAATGATCCTAATATTATATATTAGGGTTGGACTATGATACCAAAAAGACATGATACCAGAAAATTTTATAACCAACTAACTAACACCATAAAAGTGATAATCAATTAGGGGTGGAGTTTCATCACAATGCATGGGTTTTGATTGGTTAAAGCGTTTATGGTATCATGTCTTTCCACCGTCGTAGATTTTTTCTATACACTATTAAAACAAATGAACTGAAAATGACTTTGATATTATATCATGAACAAAATGAATTGAAAATGACTTTTGTGAAACTTTATCCAATGTATTTTTTAGAAATATCATAGCTAGTCAAATTAATTTTATTAATAGATAAAATTTAAGTTAAATTGTACTATATTGGATTAGATAGGAGTGGGTCCATATTAGATCAATAGATCCATTAGAAATGGATCAAATTTTGGTCACCCTTAATTGGAACAAATTTGAATTCGAATTCAAAAAATCTATGTACTATTGCTTGAATAGCTGCTCCCTATTCACAAACTAAAGATTTTAACTAACCTTATAAATTCTATAGTTAGTACTTAGTAGACGTGTTCCAAGGGGGGAGTAGTACTATAATTGTTTAAAGGGTAAATTACAAAGACCCCCTTGTATTATGGAGTCAGTGAAAAATACTTCTTTAAAAGCTTTCATTTGCAACAAATACCTCTAAGGGGAGAGTAGTACTATAATTGTTTAAAGGATAAATTACAAAGGCCCCTTTGCACTATGGGGTTAGTGACAAATACACTATGAACTTTCATTTGTAATAAATACCCCCTGAACTTTCACTTCGTGATAAATACTCTCTCACCATTGAGTTAGATGACGGAATGCGTTAAATTACCAAAATAATCGTATGGACTTTCTTTATTTTCTTTTCCTTGCTCTTTTCTCTTAAACCCTAATTGACCAAAAATACCTCCATTTCTCCAAACAAAACTAGCTAAAAATAACAAGAATCATTTCATTGCCATAGAAAAAAGTTTTTAAAAAAGTTATCTTCTTCATTTCTTCATTCATTTCACTAGCATGAATGTCTCTCTTCATCTTAAAATATAAAAATTATCCACTCCTTTCTCCAATAAATCAAGAAAAAATAAACCAAACCATACATTTTATATCTAGAAGAAGGAAGCCTAGCCAGAAATCTGGATCCATTAGAGCAATTGAGAGGACTTCAATGTTATATTTAGAAAACTAATTGAATCATATATAAATTATTCAAGTAAATAAGAAAAAAGGTAATTTAGAGAGTTAAAAAAAATTAAGCAACTGAATGAGAATTTCTTTAAAAATTAACTGACAAAACCCCAACAGATGAGGGTATTTGTTGCAAAGTGAAAATTTAGAGAAGTATTTATCACTGGCCCCATAGTATATATGAGAGGGTCTTTATAATTTACCCTTTGTTTAAATTCTAGGGGTCCTATGCCACCTAGATATTAAAACACAGTAGGTATTGATCCATATGGAGTGCCAATGAATTCAATAGGTGAGGCAATTATTAATAAATTCATGGTCATATGGTGGCTATATTTAATAACTTCTAGAACTGGGTCTCTCAATTCTGGCCACGAATTGCATTTCCGTCCTACACAATCATTGACTTGAGGAAGACTTTAGTATCCTCAGCCCGGGCTTCATTCTAAACCATTCTATCAAATTAAGTCATATGAATCTGAAATTCTTATCACCATTAAATCATTGACTTGAGGAAGACTTTACATCTCTTTTATTAGAAGTGTAAATCGGGCACGAATTTGGACCGGCCTGGCATGACAATGACGATCCGCAGGCCGTGCCGGGTTTGGAATGATATACAGGCTGTATTTGGCCTGGGGTTTTAGGTCCATGGGTCGGCGTGGCATGGCATGACTGAGCAGGTCGTACCACCTATGGCCTGCGAGCTAGTACGGCTCTGCCCGCAACACGGCCCAACATGACCCATATATATTATTTATATATATTTATATAATATATATAAATTATAATTATATAATTATATATAGTATATAATATATTAATAAAATCAATAATTTTTTTAATTTTATTATACTAATTTATTTAACTATTGTATATATAAGCAATTGTATACACAAAATTCATATAAAATTAAAATTTTAAGTTTGTTGTCAATTTTTTTAAATAAATAGCTTTAGCCCGATGCACAGCCCGACCTGGCCCAAGACTCAACCCACAGGTCAGTTCGGCCCGCGGCACGACACGGGCCTGGGCCATGGGCCATGTCGGGTCGATCCTCAATTTTTTCACTGGGAGGGTGGCACGGCACATAACGGCCCGCACTTTGCACGGGCTGCTTGCGCAGCATGACCTACTTTACACCTTTATCTTTGACCCATTTTAAGGGGGTTACACAACAGGGGCTAGTCCATCCCCCTTCCCCTAACCCCTCCCCAACCCTGGTGGCAATGGGATTTGATCTTGGGTCTTCATCACATTGAAGTCAAAAAACAAAGCCGAGATCCTACCAACTGGGACACCAACTAGTTAGTGATCCATCTAAAGATGCAAGGTTCAAAATATCGATACGTCTGATATGACAGTAAGGACGTATCAGGCTAATCGATACCTTTTTTTTTACGTTTTCTTTATTTTTTTCAAAGTCGATTTAGAGCTCATCCACCCCCTGAACCAATCAAACCCCCGATACATCCACTGTAAGGACATATTATCAGGGAAGTCCCAAAATGATAAGGTCCAATACGTGTAAGATACTTCGAACCTTGAAATTAAGATGTAAAAGATAAAACTTTGCATTTCTTTCACTCAATAAATTTAAGTCAAAGAGTTGGAGGAGATGGCATATGATGCTTTAAAGGATACCCTTTAATTTCCTCCATATACCTGTTAATCAGTTGTGATTTTTTCAAAGAATCATTCAACCTAAAAGCTTAAATTGTTACGAGCCTTCTGCATAATGGGTTGAATTATATATATTTAAGACTAATGAACCATATATACAATGAAAAGAAATTCATTAAATTATCGCCCACTAGAAAGTGTGAAGTTCAAATCCTAATTTTTTAAAGGAAAATGGAAAATTTTATTAATAATCATAAGAGGAACCTAAGAGGGGATGGGGGAGACATAAAACCTAACATTTCAACAAGAAACCATACAAAAGAACATAATTCTAAACAGTATCCATGTCTAAAGAAAACTCTCAAGAAGAATACTGAGGATGAAAACTTTTGTTTGTTCTCGATAATCTTTGAATTACTTCCATTTGATTATTGGGTAAAGCCTTCAAATCCTAAATGTTTAAATTCAATTATGTGGAAGAACTTTTCCGAATCCTGATCATAGTACTTATGAAGTTGTGGGTAGAGGTGATCATGGTGTTCCTCTGTGGCAGCTCGAGGATTCCTGGCTAATTAGTAATCATCTCACACCTTGTATCTTCAAGTAAAATAGTTGATGGCTACAGAAGGAAGGGATTACTCTGCCAAAAAGTGATGTTATTTTGGAATCGGATGCTAGTGATTACAGATCTTTATGGTCGGCCAAATATTTTGAATGAGAGATGTCATGTCACTAGATGAGATATTTGATTCTACCTCTCATGGTATTTCTTTTGTTTATATTAATTAATCATGGGTATAAATCTGATAGCAAGAGAGCCAAATCCTTGTTTTGGCTCTATAATCTATATGAATGGTTTGATATTCCTCCAAGCTTCTTGTTGATACTTGAGACACTCTTTCTTAATACAATTGGGTTCTGTTTGGGTTTCAGGAATAGGCTAGAATCGGATTCAGAATAGACCATTCTGATTCTAACTGTTTGGTTGGACAGAATTGAATATCCCATTTTCATTCCTGCTGCGTTTCTTATTTGAGGGAATGGTCATTCCCTTCCCTCTCCTTTGAGAAAGAAAACTCATTCCAAATGAATTCAATTTCTGTCTAAATGATCAAATAGACTATGGGAACAGATCATTCTGATTTCGATTCTGAAGGATTTTTATTCCGATTCGGATTCCAACTGAAAACCAAACGGATCCTTATTTTTCCTTAAAAAAAATACTGGAATTCAAGAGAAGAAAAGTTTTGCTTCTTTATTTTACCAATAAAAAGGTGTTCCTCAGCCAGATATTCCGGATTCTCAGGCCCACTTGTCTCCCATGTAGGCAGAATTTTGATGACAAACAATGATTTAGAAAGCGCAACAACATCTTTTGTCTGGCTTTCAACAGTTCTCAAATGTTGTTAATTCAATGGTTCATTCTAAACCAAAAAGCTTTATTTCTCTTGCCATTTTGTATTTTTAGAAAACAAGGGAGACTATAGAAGACTAAGAGAGATGGATAGATCCAAAGAGTAGTGCCTTTCAGAATGGGCAAAAACACAGGCTATCCTTCATTAGGCTCTGTTTGATAGAGACTTCTG